AACCACGAACTCACTTAGTATGTTCATTATCAAGAAAGTCCACGTGTTGTAACGGGAAACTACGGAACCCCACCTCTACATTGTGCATGGCACGTCATGCACTTGGACAGTTTTTTAAGTAAAATCTCACCTGAAAATTTTCCTTTCTTTGCAATAGTTATACGTGGTATTGTATATATTTATACGTGGAAGAGTCACGCTGCAGCTATATTATGGTTGCAGCACGATGAGGGTCGGCTCGACCGGGGTAGGGGTTACGCTCTCAAAGAATACCAGCGTAAAATAGTAGCTTAATGCTGCCGTGTTTCGTATGGAGCAATAATTTCAATAAGCTAGCCAATGAGTTTAACTTCGATTTGTTTAACACTAGTGCTGCGTCAGCTAGGCGCATACTTAACAATGCATTTTTTGGTAGCTCTAAGTGAGATATTGATGCTTTGCTACACAACTATGATTTACTTTTGTATTTGTGTTTATTTTTCTCTTAAAATAGCTTGTAGTGTTATTGACTGTCCTAAGTATGAGTGGATTGTCTTTTATATGTATAATACAAGTTTAGCTCTCATTTGGTATAAATATGTTGTATTGGATACTTTCGAGTGTTAAATCGTATTTATCACTGTTGTAAATTCACCTTTGGATCTATTAGTGAGGATCTTTAATTGGCTTACTGTTGTTATTAATACTATCTATCCTAATTATGATAGCTGTTGGTCTTCCAAATAAAATAAAATAAAAAATAAAAAATGGAGTGTAGAGATCCGGAGACACTTTTTACTGGAAAGGAGACATTCTATCTTAGGCCACAGGAGTTACAACACATCTGCGTTTTGATTCTTAATCAACGAAAAATGGAGATATCTATGGATCACAGCATCCATTTACCATCAGGTGGACTGTGTGCTCGTTTGTCACCATATCCTATAAAAAAGTGTTAGTTCTAAGGGATGATAACGTATCTGTAGCCATCTTTGCTTGAAGTTGGTTGCAGGTTATTTACTGTAGTAGCCACTTACTGTCAGGTGGACTTTTTAATTCGTTCGCCACTTCAATATTCAACCTTAATATAATAAACAGTACTCAAAATTAAAACGACAGTTATTCAATTTTATTTCATAAAATCCCCATAATAGTGTTAGAGATGGTTTTAACTTAATTAATTAACGTGATTTTACACTGGGCCCAGATAGGAGCGCCACACACGTGCTTTTTTTCTCTTGAGGGTCACTGGTGATGCGGATTTAAAAAAAATTAATAGAATAAGGATGACACGTGAGCGCACAGTACAACTTATGGTAAGTGGGATACTGTGGCCCAGACATCTACTTGTTTCCTCGATTAAGAATTGAAATGCAGATACGTTGCCAGTCTTAAGGACTAAGATGGAATGCTTCTTTTCCAGTAAATAGGGTCTCCAGATCTCTACACACACCATACGAAACATAGAAGTATTAAGCTGCTATTTGACGCTGGTATTCTTTGAGAGCGTGGTCCTGCTCCGGTTGAGCCGACCCATTCGTACTACAACCATAATATAGCTGCAACATGGCTCTACCACGTAAAAATTGTAGTTTTTTTTTAAAACGAACGATATTTTCATGTATCGTGAAGCAGTTTACATACATAAATTGCAAACATTCAGACCCAGCAACATTATTTCTAGGTCATACAAATACTTGTTTCATGTGGGATTTGAACCCGCTACAACTCATTGCTAAGCCACTGCGTCACGGAGACGTCAGTTGGCAGTTAAACGAGCTTTCTCGGTTATTCTTCGTTAATTCTCAATATTCCATTGCCGAATAAGTGTCTCTCCCGTTGTAGAGAGAGTCCCGCGGGTTCACGATCTGGTAACAGGCGTTACGCACTTTTGACACGGAAAACCGTTGGTCCCGCGCCTGTTCCCTCTCCAGTCGTGTCGGATTGCCGTCCTATCGGACTATGAGAGTGAGGGGATAGAGAGTGCACCCGTGCTTTCTCTGGCGCTATTATCCTGTACTGCACCAGGACTTGCCTCCGTTAACACTGGCCGCCGTGAACAAGTTCGGTCTTTTTTTTAAACTTTATTTTTATGGGATAATGGGGAAATGGTGACAAAGTTCAAAAATTTTATTAAACTAAGTTTGTATAAAAAAAGTTAGATGATAATAACCTCTGGGAAGGGTGATCGCTACCAAGCTAGTATTCTTGTTTTTTATGTCTTTTTTTTTAACCTTTGTGTTTTGTCTGTTACTGTTCTGGTCAGGCTCCTCGTTCACACCAAATGCTATTTTACGCTGGTATTCTGTGAGAGCGTGGTCCTTCTCCGGTCGAATCGACCCATTCATGCTACAACCATAATATACCTGCAGCGTGGCTCTACCACGTATGAAACGGTCTGGAGGACACTCGAAAATGAGAAAAAGCCTTTCCCAACTATATGTGAATTTTATTTTATAGTACCTGTAGATATTAGAGTCTGAATATCTGACAGAGGTGAATACGATATTGTCTCTAGCGTTCAGGTGAATTCTGCCATCGCTGCTCTTGTCCAGTTCTCTTGGTGTCACTTCGATGGAACCGATTCTCCAGGCCATCGGTACATTGCGTAATGTAGTGCTATGGGATATGAAAGTTTTAGGTTATGTTTAAGGATATATAGTATGACTAAAAGTAGAAGTACGGATACCCCAAGGTTTAACTGGCTACATGCAAATGCGCATTGCAGTTGTTTTAGTGGTGGTAGACCTATTCGACTCATACGTGGCAGAGCCACGCTGCAGCTATATTGTGGTTGTAACACGAATGCGCCGGCTCGACCGGAGTAGGACCACGCTCTTACAGAATACTAGTGCTAAGCAGCTTAACGCCGATGTGTTTCGTATGGTGAGTCTAGGGAACCGGAGACAATTTTCACTGAAAACAAGGTATTCCATCTTAGTCCTCAGGGGTAACAACACATCTGCGTTGATTCTTAATCGAGGATAAATTTAGATGTCTACGGGCCACAGCGTCCACTTACCATCAGGTGGACTGTGTGTTCGTTAGTCACCCTTAATCTATAAAAAAAGTTGTTTCTAAATTACAGCATAACGAGGCATTCCATCTTATTCATCACGAGTCATAACATACCTTCAGTTTGTTTCTTAATTCTGTATAAATACAGGTGTCTATTATTCACGGAATCCACTTACAATCATGTGGAATGTGTAGTGAGTTTTGCTTAAAACCGTGTTTTGTTTGCTATATACAGTGGTGGTCATATAATTAAGAACGCTGATATCAAGGGAAGATTTTTTCAAACTAAAACACAAAACTAATTGTATGCAATTCTTTTTTATTTCTCTCGGTATCGTAAAACTTTTCCATAATTCTCTGTCTATTTATTTTTAGCTAATCATGTGTATCAATAATTAGCTAAAAATAAATAGACAAACTTTTTACACTACTTCTAAACATAGTGTTTCTATTTACTGGCTGGTCACGTAATTAAGAACGCTAAACAATTTATACCTTTATTCAAATTTAAATAGAGAACACTCAGTTGATTTGTTACTGTTTGTATAATTTTGGCGCCATTTAGTGCTGTAAAAGATTGAAAGTGATTGCTTTTTAGGAAAAAAACAATGGGAAAAAATAAAAGTTGTGATAAATCTACAAGGGAAGTAATAATAAAACTTCGCCGGAAGAATTGGTCTTATAAAAAGATAGCCGACCACCTGCAATGTTCAAAAACGATGGTTTTCCACGCTCTAAAGCATTTTGTTACATATCAAACTACTTCGAATATTCCACGTGTACCTAAACAGAGAAAAACAACTCCTCGAGATGACCGAAACATCGTTCGTATGGCAAAACAAAATCCTTTTAAAGGGTCCACTGAGCTGAGAAAAGAATATTGTGGTGAAAACAACCCTTCAGCAATCTCAGCACGCACTATTCGAAGACTTTTGGTAGAAGAAAAATTGCACGGTAGGATTGGAAGGAAGGTACCCATGTTGAAACATTGCCACAGGCGAGCCCGGCTTGCGAGAATGTTTGGAAACTGGACTGTGCGACAGTGGAAAAATGTACTTTTTTCTGACGAGACGAAAATAAACAGAGTATGCTCTGATAGAAAACGATATGCACGGCGTCCTCCGAATACAGCATTTAACCCTAAGTACACGACAATTACATTAAAGCACGGTGGTGGAAATGTGAAAATCTGGGGGTGCTTTTCTGGAAAAAAAATTATTGGACCTGTAAAGTTGATATAAGGTCACATGGATCAGTTCCAATATAAAAATATACTGAAAGAAACAATGTTACCTAATGCTGAAGACGTTCTACTGGTTATTTGGACGTTTCAGCATGACAATGATCCAAGGCACTCTGCACGCATCGTAAAGGAATTTCTTACAGCGCATTCAGTTTCTGTCTTAGACCACTTGTTTGACCAGCTAACAGCCCAGATCTAAGCCCAATAGAGAATCTGTGGTTCGAAGTAAAGAAAGAGGTTTCAAATACACAGTGTGGAAATTTAAGAGAGCTGTATGACATTTTTTTAAAAGAATGGAACTCTATTTCTCTTGCGAAATGTCAAAAATTAATAGAGTCAATGCCTCGCCGCTGTAAAGCTGTAATTAAAAGCCGTGGATATGCTATTGACTATTAATTTTAGATAAAAATGTATTAAATTGGTTTTTAAATTTGCCGCGCTACATATTATTGTGATTTTTGAAATGTAAGTGTCATACAAAACAATTTCCGAGCAGTTTAATAAATCGTTCTTAATTATTTGTCCAGTTTCAGTATTATTTGAATGAGTTACTTTGGTAAAATAAATAAAATGTGAAAAAAAAGTTAGCGATTTTATTCTTTATTCCTAAGCCACGTTGCTCTATTCATGTGGCTATTTTATAACATAACTAGTTGCTTCTCAGAAGGTGCACATCTCTGTGTACGACATGATTTAAATAAAAAACTTCTAGAACTCCAAATCGTTCTTAATTATGTGACCACAACTATATCATTAAATATTACCCTGGACACTTGACTATGACTCTTGACCCCTTTGCTGCGAATATTATATCTTGTACTACTGTTGGCGGTTGGGGTGGTTCCTTTTGCCGTAGAGAGTAGACGCCTTCACTGTTATTCGTACGTTCGATTATTTCGCCCTTGTTAGAACGAAGCTCGAAAACCTGGCTTTTACACGGTATCTGTTTTGAACGGAATTAAAAATTATTCAATAAAACCTTGTATAAAAAGTAACCGTGAAAGTGAAAAAAAAAATGTTTGTCATTTAAAAACTCCATTACATTTGCAAGGTTTCTATTGAAATATTTTCTTTAGTTTCACAATGTATATATGAGTACATTATAAACGGTCTCAATTCAGGTAAAATGTATGCAAAAAAGCAGATTTTTGGAGGCTTATACTGAATTTGTTTCTCAAAATTTAGATTTTTTGTTTTGACAGAAACCTAGATATAGTGCACAAGATACCTATTAGTTCAAAAGTTTCAAAGAAAGATCTTTTACAACGCCATAATCACGTACGAGCGTTTGTATGAAGATCAGTTGGCCGCTTTATGAAAGTTTCAAGGAAATATTCGCCGCGCTGTCCCAATGCGTGTTGGCATACTTAACGTTTTGCAAAAAAAATATTGTCATTTACGATGTTTTCCTTCACCGCTGAGCATGTGGTAAATCAGCACTTAAAATTGAAAGATAGAAAGAAAAGAAAGAAAGAAAAAGTTTATTTGATACATCATACATATAAAAACAAAAATAATAAAAATAAAACGTTTTATTTAATATCTTATCAAAAATGTTTAAAAAAGGAATAACATAATATGCACCAAAATGGTCTCCACTTAGCTTTAAGTCACGAATTGAAAATATAATACATCAATTCGTAACGCTGATTTTCAGTGGAACCAGGAGTGTGAGGCAGATGACAATTAACAGCAAGAGAAAAAAAAACTAAACAAAACTATAAAATAAAATGAAAAAAAAAAAATCGAACCAGGCTAGAACGCATACTTTGAAATATACAGCTTGTGCTTAGCCCCTGAGCTACTACTTACTCGATGTAAATATTAGTTTAAGCCAAAATTAATCTGAAGATCGGTATTAAAAACAAAATATTAGTAATAATTAACATTTCTCTCTCTATTATTTGAAATCTTCTCTTACCTTACAAAGTGCAATCATGATTTCGTTTCTCCGTGAACCTAATGCAGGCAATTTCTTTATGGTCTTCGGCAATAACTGCGATCCACAAGGAACACCTCCAGGAAACGCTGAGGATTCAAATAGTATAGTATAGTAATAGTAGGGTCATTTGCTTCATTAACTTCTTGGTGCGATAGAGATTTTATGGAAGTTATAAATTTAGTATAAGCAATCGTTTCTCCTTTTTGTACACCAATACTTTACAGCATAGTTTCTCTCAATAGGACATTGTAGGATTTAAGCGGTATGTTCTGAGAGACATAACTTTACAACTATCATTTACAATTGCAGATATTATGAATTATATTATCTATACAAGTTAGGGATTCAAGTCTTTTTGGTTCAGCAATTCCCATTTTTAAATTAAAACTAAATTATACTTTTAAAGATCATAGACTGCTTAGTTTTCTTAATAATATTTATATCAGTCTCCACAAATAATAACGTTGTTGTTTGTTATACAAACCTTTAACAATGTGTCATGTAATTTGTTAAAAGAAGTTGTAATTACAGTTTTGTGAAGTGTTGCTATTTTGTTCTTTTTCATATAATAAGCGTGACAAACGGGCATACAGTCCACCTGATGGTAAGCGGATGCTAAATCAAAATGCAAATGCATTGCAACTCCTGAGGACTACTAAATGTCCTTTAAATTGTAATACAAGACAAGAAATACTGTTGCTGCAGATATAGGTAAAAGGGTGATTTGCATTTTGATTCTTAACCGAAGATAGATGTAGATGTCTATGGGCCACAGCATTCACTTACTATTGGGTGGGTTGTGGTCGGTCATCCTTATGCTATAAAAAAGACAGGAGCCTCTTTGAAAAAAAAAACAGTATAACACGGTTAAAATTATTTATTTTATTAAAGGAGCAATATTGGAAACAAGTAGGGCTATGCTAACATTAAATCGTTAAAACAAAACGCGTTCTAATTTACCGTACAATTGATTCCCGTACGAGCATTTCTAATTACGAAATATCGCTCGCTTATTGTATTTATTCCCGTCTTTCGCTTAAGTCTTAATAATTTGTATGTTTATTTAAATGTGAAAAGAACCTTGAAATAATTTGATTCCAACGTCGTCCAATAACACGCTATCTTCTGAGGAAGAATCCGACGCTTCGTCTTTGTTCTGTAACGGAAATTATAAACTGGCTTATTGTATAAGTTAGCTATGGCGCATGAGTAAAGAAGCCGACGAGAGGGAAGCTATATACAAACGGCTCGCTGCGATTATACCCATACATACCGCAGCGATGTGTGCATGTGTGTTCACATTAATGAGGTGACAACCCTATCAGAATAGGTATACATTTTCGACGCTGTTAGGAAGCTTCCCCTCTGGTCCCTACTCCTTTCTATGTGGTTATGGTGAGTGGGTTTCGTTACTAAAATTTGATATGGGAAGTATTTTTGTTTAAAGTTGGTTGCAGCGCCTTGTAGTCCCCGAATATGCAACGTCTACGTATATTATCTTCAGCCATATCTGGTAAGCTTAAAATGCTTGTGTTAAGAATGGTGCACGACAGTAGTCGAATGGTGGATTCGAACCCACTACATTTTAGTTCGTGAACCGCACCCTGCCATTCGGCTACTGTCGCTTCTTGATTTAAACATATTATTTTATATAAAAGATTTAAACTTTTTGATTTATTACATTGTATTTTTTATTTCACCAGTTCAATTCACACCTATGCCGGAAGTTGTTGGAAATAAATAACACAAAATTTCCAAATAGTTAAGTATTACTTCGACCGAGAGAGGTCAACCCAAATTTCTAACAAGATTAAAACACGTTTTTTCAGCACGTATTTTTCAAAATTTGAAAACAAGGGTGAACATAATCAGTAACACTCAAACACAAAATTATTTTAAAACAATTTTTTAAAATATTAGTAATCTTATTAATTAACATTACTAATATTCCTTTTAACCACTCCTGGTAAGCTTGAAACACTTGTGTTGGAAGTAGTCATTGAGTTATACAACACTAGAGGAGCAAACCACATTACCGCGCGTCGAAAAAAGTGTAACCACTATCCAAACGCGACGACGTAGCTTTGAAACTAATAACAATTTTATGTAAACATATATCTATCTCACTTACACAAGTTGTGAAAACCATATCGTCGTCGTAAGATTAGATAAAGATAGACACACAAACATGCAATGGCGGGTTGGTGTGGCTTAGTATATGAAATTTTACCTAAAATACAAAATAAATATGAGTTTTTTTTAAGCTGGAGTTAATTGTTTTTATATTAAAAAAGTATATTTTATTTTAAAATCTTTATTACGTCCCCTTAGAAAAAAAGGGATACAAAGCTTATCAGATGAATAGAGTAAACATAATGATGAAATAAAACGTATTTTTATGGTTCTAATAAATCAAACAATATAAAATAGGTATCTAATAAAATGTAATTAATATAAAATTTATATGAAATTATAAATAATATAAAATTATTAATATAAAATAGGTAATAAAATATATTTTATAGATAATTCATGAATAAACTAAAATAAGAATAATTAATTTTTTTGTATGAAAGTTAAAACGTAGTTTTTATTATAATTTCCAAAATATTTAAAATCAGAGGTAACAAATTAACTTGCTCCATTAATTATATAGTCTCCCATTAATGTAGGATAATCACAAATGCGGAAAAGTGGCAACATTGAACCTAAATGGCAATATTCGATAAGTTTATTTAATTATTTGAGGTTTTTTACGTTTATATGAAAACAGGAACTAAAAATTATGTGTTGAAAGTGATGCCGCTTGATTTATTACGTTTTTGTGACCTTGAATAGCATTCTTTCACTACACATTTACCCATTTTTGTCGCGGCTCAACTCTGTCGGCGTCACATTGAACAATGAACTCACGTTAGCTAGGCATATGGCTGTGGCCATATGTGCAGTGGCAACGCTTTGGCGCGGTTATTACTGATCTAGGGTTATATAAATCAATGGAAGTAGTTCGATAACCTCGGTGTTCAGTTCCTAGTCAGTTTGGAAGGGCGGATTCAAACCCACGACATTTTGTGTTCGCGATCCGCGCCCTACCATTAGGCAACTGTCGCTTCGAAATAATTTTATAGATTAATTTCTTTCCACTCGACGGCGATTCGATAACCTAATAAAAGAAAGAAAGAAAAGCATAATCAATTTGTAATAAATATTACTTGTAATTTATTTTGTTTATAAAATAACTCCGGAAATATACCTATAGCAACATGTCTAGTGCTATTTTAATCTTACCTTGTTTTGGTTTAACTCCCCGTAACCCACGTAACAGATACCGTAACGACGTCGGCGCCCTACGACACCACAGCGGCTGCATTCGCTCCAAACTGACCAGGAGCTGAACACCACCAGCTCCGAGGTTATCGGTTTCGGCGGTGACGAGTAGGGACCTCGTGATGAGTGCGGTTTCACCTGTTTTGCAAGTTATACTATACTCTAACGTTTACCTGCAGATTTGCAGAAGTGATTGTAGTAGGAAATATGGGACTAAATCCTAATGAGAATTTCTCGGAAGCGATATTTTTCCTACAAAATGTAATATTTGTTTGTCGGTCCTCAAACTAACCTTTGCAAAATAAACGTGTTTCGATGTGAAAACGAGATTTTATTAGCTGACGGTAGTGAGCATGACGTTCTGTACTTTTAGCTAGACCTAGACACTATACTTATATAATAGCCTGTAGCTACTAACTACTAAGGAAATTTAGTTCAAACCCCCAAAGCAAAATATAACTTTTTATATATTAATATTTTCCTTTTTCTTTCTTTTTTGTTTCCTAACTAGGAATACTGTATCACGGGGCAGTTTGCAGTTTGGCCATACAAATACTTATCCTATGCGGGATTCGAACTCGCGGCCCTTAGCTTTGTAACTCATTGCTCCACTGAACTGAAACTGAACTGTTACGAGTTTGGTGTTCGTGACAATAAAAACTGGCGATTGAATTACCAAAATTAACACTTTAATTACCGAACACCAATTACAACTTATTTTCTTATTTTTTTAAAAAACACACTAATAATTAATCACTAGTTCGCAGCTATATCGATTCGAAGTATTCGCTCGGATCGCCAATTTAATACTGACTCGGTCGCTCGGTCCTTACTGGCCTTATATAGGGCCTCTTCCATTGAAACATCTAGAATGTTCGAGCACATAACGGTTCTGACCGACTAGGTGTAGAAAGTTCTAGTATGGAATTTTCTAGAAAGCTCTCCTAGTTCTGCTACTCTATACTAGACGGCGCTAGTGGCATTAATTATGGCGCGCAACATAACTAACTTAAAGTCGACCTAGGTAATTAATTGGCTACTGCAGTCGAATTCAAACAAAGGGGGTTACAGATGCGTTGGTACCTCTGAGGACTCAGATGGATGCCACACAACCTGTCATTATACTGGCTCTCTGTACCATTCAGACCCGGAACACAACAGTGCAACACAGATGAACTTTTAGGCATCCTATCACCTAGTATCTCGACCAAAACTTTTTGTTATAAAATAAGGATGACAAGCGAACACAGTCCACCTTTTTATATAGAAAAAGGGTTGCAAACGAGCACACAGTCCACCTACCACAGTAAATGGATGCTGTGACACATAAACATATACATCTCATCTTTCATCGATTAAGAATCAAAATGCAGATGCGTTGCCATCCATGAGGACTAAGATGAAATGTCTAGTTTGCAGTAAAAGGGGTCTCCGGTTCTCAATACTCACCATACAAAAGGGTAACATTGAGTTGCTATTTGATGCTGGTATTCTCTGAGAGCGTGGTTTTCCCCCGGTCGTGCCGACCCATTCGTACTTTCGTGCTGCAACCATAATATAGCTGCAGCATGGCTCTACCACGTAGAAAAAACCAAAAATTTTTTTTTTACTTTGGTTTATTTTTTTTTCTTAGGCAGAAAGAGAATTCTATGGTTTAGTTAATCTGAGTTTAATATATGAAACAAATTCTATTATACTATTACACACACGTGCGTGTGTGTGTGGACAGTAGCTTGTTAAAAAAGGGATGTACTCGTGGTGACGCTCGTCCAGAACATCAAAATCACTGTCGCTATACGTACCACTGTATACGGATCTTCATCGTCCAATACTTCTAAAATCACTAGCCCACTAACAGCGAATCCGATCTGGCATTGATACACTCCAGCATCTGGCGGTCGCACGTAGAATATGATTAGGTCACCATCATCAACCGCCATCTCTTTTTCTTCCATCGGTCTGAATGTGCGATTGTATATAGACTGAAAAAAATTTGCCAAGTGTCAGCGGATCAGAAGCAAAAGTAAAAACAAAAAGAGTTAAATGATTTGAATTTATTGAAAATTTAGATAGGAGCGCGTTAGAATAGTGTGGGATATTTTATATAAGAGAGAGAAAGCGAGAAAGTCAGTGTGTGTGTGTGTGTGTGTGTGTGTGGGAAAGAGAAAGTGATAGCCACTGTCATAAATATGTTGCCACACTCAAAGACAATTTTAACACTTTTTGATGTTACAATTTTATTTTTTTATTAATACGGTAACAAACGGACTAAAAGTCCACCTGATTGTGAATAACTCTATTGTGGTTCAAACACACCTACAACTAACTTCAATAAATTGCAACAGATATGTTGTTACTCCTGAAGACTTTTTTTGTAGAATAAGTATAACAAACGAGCACACAGTCCACCTGATGGTAAGCGGATATTGTGCCCTATGTCTTTCCTCGATTAAGAATCAAAATTTTGATCGGTTGTCACCCCTGAGAACTTAAATATAATGCCTCGTTATGCCTCGCTACCAGTGAACAGGGTCTCCAGTTTCTCTACACATTAAGCTACTTACTGCTAATTCACGCTGGTACGAGGGCGGCACTAAAAATTTCGGGAATCAAGGAAGTGACACAAAATTACTATTTAAAAATGTATTTATTCCTTTTCGGAGTATTCTCCGCCAAATTTGACACATTTTTCCATACGATGGAACCAATCATTGAAGCAACCATTCCATTCGGAAGTTGGGGTCTCCAAAATGGCCGTTTTGTAGGGGTCCACAGCTTCTTCAGGTGATGAAAATCTCTGTCCACGCAATTTATTCTTTATTTTAGGGAAAGTATAGAATTCATTAGGGCTTAGGTCGGGGCTGTACGGCGGATGGTCTAATAATTCTATGCTTTCTTGCTCAGAAAAGTTTTGTTCTGTGTGCGGTGTGAGAACTCGCATTGTCGTGATGGAGGATGATGCGGCGGTTGCAGTTCTCTTTACGGAGTTCAGAAACGACCTGTGGCAAACAAATGCTAGCATACCATTCTGCATTAACCGTTCTTTGTCCCTCAAGAGGAATAGTCGTAACATGGCCGGTTTTGGAGACAAGCGTGGCCCCCTTTTTTTTTGCAACACTCCGTGAACGAACAATTTTTATTGGTTTTAACTCATTTTCGAACATCCAAACACGTGACTGGTTTTTTGTTTCGGGTTCGTACGCGTATATCCAGGATTCGTCACCTGATACGATGTTGTATACAGCCAAAGAGATTGAAATATATATTATACACTATAGAGCGGACATTGGGAATATTTTCATACAAAAGCTGTTATCATGAGCATGTATTACACCCTCTAGCGAAATATAGCAATACTACACTAAATATTTATTTAGAAAACATTTTAGCTATTTTCCAGTAGGTGACACTACTAAACATAAGGTTAAAATCTCTTGTAGGCACATCGTTAATCACACATATTTGTAAATAAATAGTGACGTTACTGGATAACAGAGAGCTCTTATTACAATAATTTTTCTTTCTTCTCTAACAATCTACTAGAAATAATAAAATTTAAAGATTATTTGGTAAATACACATTATTCTTACGATAATAAACCGAAATCACGTTAATTTTTTGCTCCATATCGTGATTTACAATACTTTAATGCACAACCAGGCATATTTTCTTTAAAAATATTTTTAAATTTATAAAATGAATGCGTCTTGACCTTTTGACGATGTCACTTAGACTAAATGACAAAAATCGGAGATATATCCTACAGGACAAAAGTTACAGACGACAATTTTGTTACTAATGTCCGGTCTATTACTACTACCTATTTAAATGTCTTTGTATACAGCATTTGAGGATCCTTCGTGGAATCTTTCGAGAGTTCTGACGCACCAAGTAACGCGAGCCGCTTTTTGCTCTTCACAGAGCGAATGCGGTATCCATTGGGAAAACAACTTTTTTTACACCTAATTGTTCATGCAAGATTATTTGTATTTGACTCATGCCAATGTCTAAAGTTGCCTGAATTTCTCGGTATGTCACATGTCGATCTTCCTCAATCAGCTTACGCACAGCATCAATGTTTTCTTAGGTGACTGCAGTTTTTGGACGACCTTGACGGGGATCATCACTGAGCTTGACGCGTCCACATTGAAATTCACCAAACCAGCGATCAATTGTGGTATTGGATGGGGCTTCATCACCAAATGCAGAAATCATCCGGTCAACACACTTGTTTTGTGTTAAATCACTTCGAAAGTCATAATAAATCATCGCTCTTGAATTTTCTCGAGTCAATTCCATTTCTCAACGACTAAACAAGTTTGACAAAACCTTGTGAGAAGACCGAGAATCTTTTTTAAATAAATAAATGGTATTCGATTTTTAAAACCAAGGAGTTTTCAATTAAAAAGATTTTAATATGACGAGGGACGATACTTTTAGTGCAGCCCTCGTATTGTGAGAGCATTAACCTTCCCCGGTCGATCCGGCTCATTCGTGCTACAACCATAATATAGCCGCAGCGTGGCTCTAATCTTTTATTGTGGTTTTGTAGAATATTTAATCTTTTTCATTTCAATATGAGTTCGTTTTTGTTTGACGTACTGACATAATGACCTCTGTATTCTTTAAAACTACGTTAAGTTTAGAGAACTAAAGAGAATGCTTAGATGACCATTCTCACCTCTGTGTACATCCACTTTACATTATTTCGATCAGTTGCTATTTGATTGCAAGGAATCCGGGTCATAGAACCAACATACGCCGCCAGTATAAGTCCAGGACAGTGTTCTGTTTCCAGATTGTTCAATACACTGGTTATTCTATCGGAGATATGCGATTTTGTTGCACCTTTAATCATCAAAAAGTATTTTTAAGAAAGCTAAATTAACGTCAAGTCTGTTTTTTAAATCTCTGAGACTAAATTGACAAATGTAAATGTCAAATAAAGAATGCTGCGACCGCTTTTGTGAAGTGTTGTACCTACGATACCGGTTTGTTGAATCGTATCTTTATTGGACGGTTAGCTTCAAAGTTTTCTATTCCAATGCGTATCATTAAGGTGATGTGGGTGCCCAAAGCAGATTTTTCAAGCTTTATCGCGCTATTCGCGCAGAAAAGCAATTTTTTGTCTTTAAAAACAACGAAAGCAAATTTTTTTAAAATTCATTATGAAAGTTAAAGATTTTTTAGTGAATTATGTTGGCCTAAACACATTTTGGCTCGATAGAAAAAGATCGCAAAATTTTCTCAAAATCTACAATTTTAGGTGCGCCCACTAAGTGAAAAAGTAGTTTCATTCGAATGTAATGAAATCAATTTCAATTAAATTCAGGCTATTTGTTCACCAGTAAATACGTGAGTGAATTTTTTAATAAAAGAGTATATATGATTTTAAAAAGAAATATCAAATAAATATTGTGCGATTAAATAGCGCGCGGACCGACTTAACAGCGTGAAAAATCTGCTTTTGGCTCCCACTTCATCTTAAAATTTACGTACGTACACACGACGCGCTACATAGTATACACTGGCAGTGAATGAGTGAAAGCGGACCACGCGACGCTTTGCGGGATCCGAGTCCGACCAATAGGAGACCCGTTTATACCCGGATCGTTGTTGAAAAAGTAATATTCTCGCAGGGTATTATTTTAGTAACATATTATAGTTATATTAGTTTTCAAATAATAAAAATATAAAAAAATATGGGTAGAATTTCGTTGTCATCAGAAGTACTAAATAAATATTTTAATAAAATAATACTGGTACCTGACGGCAGCTGGAAATTTTCGTCATCTCCATACACATTATTTATCTCTGTGACAGTTTCTTTAAGGCCACAATGTGATTCTTTTAATGATAAAAATGAAAAGGTGATTTCTAATAATATTATTTTCATTTTATTTAAATTTGAATGACGTTTTTTTGGCAGTAAGTTACAAATCTAAAACTTAAATATAGAACAGTTGTAGTAGTATTAGAATCTTTTAAAAAACCAGTCGGGGGAAGGTTTTCAATTCTACTATATTTTTGTATGTATGTCAAGCGATATCTTCCCTAGTTCTGAGACAAAAAAAAACAATTTTAATGATTCTTTTTAATTACGTACTAGGGTGACACTGAAAGTTTTAAAAAAATCATAAACTGAACAAACTATCAAGTTATTAGTTTTATTATATCTTTTCAAAATAGTGTCTATTTACATCAATGTATCGCTGCGTCCGATGGAACCACTGAGGAAAGCATTTTGCCCACTCGTCTTTAGGGGTTTCTTCGACGGCATTTTGAAACGCAGCCACTGTTCCCTTAGCGTTCATAAAACGTTTTCCTCGAAGTTTTTCTTTTATTTTCGGAATTAAATAAAAATCGCAAGGTGCGAGGTCGGGGCTATAGGGCGGGTGACCCAGTAATTCCACGTATGACGTCGCCAAGTAGTCAGTTGTTTGCTTGGCGGTGTGCGACGAGGCGTTATCGTGGTGAAGGAGGATCCTACTGCGAGGTGGTTTCTCCCGAACTTTTTCCAAGAAAAGTGGCAAACATTTGTTAGTGTATGCAGTAACTTTTTTTCGATTCTCTAAAACAATTGTTGCGTAATGACCTGTCCTTCCGAAGAACGAGGCCACCATCTTTTTCCCCACGCTTCGACCTCTTCATTTTAGTTGGCAACTCCTCGGAAGGAAACACCCAGACAGCAGACTGTCTCTTAGTTTCAGGATCATAACAATAAATCTAGCGATCGTCACCCGTATGTCGAACACAGCATTTGAGTCACCTCCGTTTAATCTTTGAACCATTTCACGACACCAATCAACACGACGGAGGTTTTGGGCCTCTGTCAAATTATGAGATATGCACCGGGCACAAAGACCGCTAAATGTTCATGAAGGATTTTGTGCACTTGACTCATACCGATGCTTGTCCGAATCTATTGATAAGTCACTCTTTTGTCAGCCTCTATCATACGCCGCACAACACTGATGTTATCTTCAGTCGTCGTCGTAGAAGATCATCGGTGGGCTTAGTGCGACCACGTTTAAACTCATATATCAGTTGTAAACAGTGGCACGAGATAGGGCTTCCATGTGAAAGGCCAATCAGACCAAAATAAAATGACATTGAAAGTCATAAAAAGTCATAGTACGAAAATTTTCTCGCGTTAAATTCATGCTGACGTGACACAGACAATTTTCAATTTGCCGCCATATCGTAAACAAATGACAAATTAAAAATACCTACACAATAATATTGGCAAAGAGTTCCATTTTCAACATTTGAACTCATTTTTTTATTATATCGTTTTCAAGTGACCAGTTAAAAAAACTTTCAGTGTCGCCCTCGTAAGCTATACAATGATCTAAGAAAAATCTATAGTCCCATTGTCATTGACCAATGTTCTGTGGTTATCAAGGCCTTCATAAAACAAGTAAATTTGGATCCCAGACCAGCCATGAGCAATTTCTTCCTTTTGGGACACCATTATTTCAGTATCAGCGTCATTATTTTTTTACGTGGTAAATCATGCTAATATATTAGTAGTATAGATGAAGCATGAATGGGTTGGCTCAACCGGGGAAGGACCACGCCCTCACAGAATACCAACGTAAAATAGCAGCTTAACGCTGCTGTGTTTTGTATGGTTTATGGTTAACCGGAGATTATTTTGATTAGAAAGGAGGCACTCCGTCTTAGTACTCACGGGTGACAACGCATCTGCATTTTGATTCTTAAGGTAATCCACTTACCATCAGGTGGATTGTGTGCTCTTTTGTCACCCTTATCCTATATATAAAGAAAATCCAGTACCTCATATCGTAACGAAATGAAACAGGAGATAGTTAGTTACAGCATCTTCATTGCGACGACTCAAAATTAAAAAGAAAACGGAGTTTATAAACTGTTCAGTGGACTTTTGATAGGCCGTAATGAATGATTAAAAGATATTAAGTATTTAAACTAATGGATACACCTTCTAGACTATGATAAATTTGCAGTAATTTATTCCCAGAAGACGGAGCCGGGTCTGAACCTGGGACCGCAGCCGACTCCCGAGATGGAGGCGATCGCCAGGGAAGCTGACGCGTTGGCGCGAGAGAGGCTCGCACTCGAGGCGGAGGTGGCCGCCAAGCAGCGGGAACTGCTCGCTAAGGAAGGCGAGGCGGACAGCTTGCAGGTGAGACTAGTCTTCGATTTTAAACCCTATGGCCTTAATAATTGCGTCAAAAATTCTTAAAATTAGGTTGTGATTGGATATTTAAAATTAAACATTTTCATTGTTAAACTTTTAGTACCTATATGTGTTATTTATTGTTCACACCAAAACAAAATAAGAGAGAAAACATGTTTAAATGTTTGATATTACTCTGTGGAATAGAGTAGAACAAAGCAATAATAAAATTAAAATTGCACATAAAAAGGTATTGCCGTGCCATCCACACCATCTATACAACATGTAACAAAAACCCTGTGGTTTCCGTTAACTGCGTTATCAGAATCACCGTTCGAGAGTATAGAAATATTTTTTTTAATTTAATTTTAAAAAAATATTTGCAAATTGTACGTGGCTTTATTTCCTCTAACTCACGCAAGTATCGGTAATACGGGGTCTTTGACAATACTCTTACTCCTCGGCCAATGCAGAAATAATGAAACCACATACAATTTGCAAATAATTTTTTTTAATTAAAATTAATTTTTATAAATGTTTTTTTTTAAATTGAATATGATTATGATAAGATTAAGGGAACATAGGGTTTTTTTAGTTGTATTGGTTGGTGCGAGATAACTTTGTGACTGTTGGTCGATAATTTAACAATTTCTTTGTTTCAGAGTGAACTAGACACATTAACAGCTACGTTGAAACAGTTAGAAAATCAAAAAGGCGAAGCTCAAAAACGGTTAAACGACTTAAAAACACAAGTGAGTGAATAGTTTTCTATGTATTGTAAATAATTTTTACGGCTTGGTTGCGGCGTAAAATGACCAATCAAACAATTGCGTATTCTATTATTACTTATTAAAACTTTTTTTATTAACTAGCGCCCTGCTCCGGATTCGCTGGGACAGGATCTATTGATGTGGCTTTATTTAGATATAAGGATGATATGTAACCAAATACCATTTATATTATTAATTTTTCGTTTCTTTTTTTTAAATATCTTTACGTTACGTAAATATAGCTTAGATCGCTTCTGTAGGTATAGGTAATAAAAAAACGAGTGTGCTTGACCACATGACTGAAGTAAAGCTATATATATATATATATATATATATATATTATATATATATATATATATATATATATATATATATATATATATCATCCTGTATATATATATATATATAGTATATATATATATATACAGGATGTCGTAGTGTAAACACCGTTATCCTTGAAACCAGTGTATGTTCGGGCGTAGTGTATCCATGAATTTACGGACGGTGTCGGACAGAAACTTATTAAATTTTATGAAAGAAAATAGCGTTTTTTTTTAAATTCATTGAATTTACGTTCTATAAATGAAACCAAACCACTGGTTTCAAGGATAACGGTGTTTACACTAACACCCTGGTCCGGTTCTCTACACTCACTATATGAAACAGCAGCTTCTATTTTACCTATCTTGGTCAAGCCGACCCATTCGTGCTACAAACTATAATATAGCTGCAGCTTGGCTCTACCGTGTATATAGTATAGATTTAAAAATCTACAATTACTAAAAAACTACTCTGAAATACAATAGACAGGGCAAGAGTTTATGATGGATAATACAGTCAATGTGAAAAAATCTATCAATAATTCAAGGAAGGGCTCGTTTTAAATTAGACAATCTTTACTTTGATTTACCATTAACACAGTGATTGATTAATATTGATGCAGTTAATACAGGATATTGGCTTAATTTGTTACCATCAAAATGATAGTGACTCTGTCGTACATTGCGTCGTATGCTATGTTACTTTTCTAGAGCTATCACGCTCCATAAAATATACAACGCAATGAAACATATTACAACACAAATTGAAAATAATTTCAATGTGAACGAAATCACCGAATAGGTATTGTGCGGCGTATTTTTAATATAGAATACGGGTCCACTTGATGGTAATTGAAAACTGTATCCTATAGACATCTACATCTATCCTCGATTAAGGCCGAATACGAAGAGAACTGGTGAAACTTCATGTATTTTTGTTCACTAGAACTTTAATCTGAAGTAATTCTGAGCGTTAAAATGTTTTTTTTAGGTTTGTTCGGTTCCTTCACAAGGTGCCTGCCCTTTTAAAGGTTTTAAAATAAATCAATATACCAATAAAAATGTTAAGAAATGATATCTAAATATCATTTTTCTTTCAAAACTGTGAATATAAATTTAGGAAATGTTATTTTTACGTAAAAATATTTGTATTGTGATTCCGAAGGTGCATGCCTTCTTAATTTTGTATTCACATTTTTTATTACCATAATTCCTTTTAATTAAATACGCCTTGTAATAATATTGTATATTGTCAGCTAAAAGGTTGTCGTCATAAATTACCCGGCGCTTTGATGTGTATGTGTCTATGGTGACAACAGTCAGTTGTGTCTCTATTGGAAATCGTTAATTTAGTGGATTACACGCGTTTAAGTGACTTTAAATGTGAATATGGGTAGGAAAAGAAATAAATATTACCTAAGTGGTAAAGCGCCCTCGTGCGGCTAACACACGTGATGTTCGATAGACGGCGCGCGGTTCGCCGCGAAACGAGTAAGGTCAATTGCTTCGTATTCGGCCTTAAGAATTAAAAACCAGTTGCGTTTTCAGCTCTGAGGACTGTATTTAAATAATTTCGTACCAGTAAAAAAGGTCACTGGTTCTCTACACTCATTACACAAAACATAGCAGCCTTAAGCTGCTATTTTATGCTTTTAGTCTGTGAGAGCTTGGTACTTCTTTGGTAGAGTCGACTCATTCGTGCTACAACCATAACATAGCTGCAACGGGACTACAACGTAGGGTGTTGGTGATGCCTGGCGATTTGGTGATGGTTACAATTCCTGTTGCAGGTGGACAAGCTGCGGTCGCAGGTGTCCGCACAGGAGGCGGCCGCTGCGGAAACGGAAGCTGAGGTGGCGAGTCGAAAAGCAGCTGAACAGACGTTGAAAGAGCGAGAGAGAGCGCTCAATGCAGAACTTCGTGAAGCGGAGAGTGAGGCCGAAGCACTTACTGCACAACTGCGGCGCACCGTGCTGCAGCTTAGCCAGGTGCTTTAAAATATATATATTAATAAAAATAAATGTGCTCCAGATCGAATTTCGGTAATATTTTTAATTTTTTTGGGATAATATTTAGTCGCGCTATATTTATTCACTTCTGGTATTATTCTGTATTTGTCTGTGAAGATTTATTTCAATCGGACAATTTAAAAATGGTTAATCATGTTTTAGCGGCAAGTAAATATTTTACACCAAAAATATTAACAAACAAAATCGACAATAATTATGAAGAAAACTTTCAAAACGCGTCGTATTTAGAAATTACTGAAATCGGACTGAATATTTTTTTGTAGTTTGGCATTCAATTATTATGGCGTTTTACTATTATTGACTCCAATGACAAGTTGGATTGAAAAGCTATAGAACGTACGAAAAACGCATATCGCAACGTATTTTTTTCACCCTTATTCTATAAAAAAAACCGTGTAGTGGCGTTGTAAGAATATTCATTACCCTATATCGTCTCGTAGGTGTCATAAGATGCTTTTCTCATAATCCGTTCATTCAATGTACAAAGTGTCCATGGTGCAACCGCCACGCAAGAATGATAGAACTAGTACATAGCCGCAGCGTGCCTTTATTCGTTCATTGATCCGTTCATTCGTTCATTCATTTCATACTGCTATTTGCTTAGCAGTACTACGTGGTACCACCCAACCCATTTTCTACCTAGAAGTCAATTCCTCTGTTGTTGCGGTTGTTCATCGGTGGCGGTTGTCAGTTACCATCAGGTGAGGGGCTAACGAGCATACGGCACTTACCTTATGGTAAGTGATCACTGCCACCCATGACAACTGCAACACCAGGGGAGTTGCAGATGCGTTGCCGGTCTTTTAAAAAGGAGTAGGCTCTTTTCTTAAATGTCTCTAAGTCGTATCGGTCCGGAAACATGTCTGGTGGTTGTCGATTCCACAAGTAACTTGTGCGAGGAAGAAAATTTCTTTTAAATCGCACGGTGGTGGACCGCCAGTCATCCAGATGGTATGGATGGTATTGCGGGTTTTGTCGCGATGTGCGATGGTGAAATTATGCGGCTGGAATTAGTACCAAAATTTCCTCAGAGCACTTCCCGTGGTAAGTGCCATAAAATACGCAAAGAGAAGCAACATCTCTTTACAGTGCCATCGAGTCAACCCGATCGGAAAGAGCTCGGTCGCCGACGATTCGAACAGCTCTGCACTGGATGCGATCAAATGCAAGCAGCTGGCACTGGGGAGCCCCGGCCCAGAGATGGGAACAGTATTCCATGTGCGGCCGAACCTGCGCCTTGTTAAGTTACAGGCGATGAGCGGGCATGAAATACTGACCCGCTTTGCTGAGCACGCCTAGCTTTTTTGAGGCCAATTTGGCCTTCTATTCCAACTGACTACGAAATAGAGTAAATGGGGCCTTGCACTCTATTGTGAAGAGTCAAAATGTGTCGAAAAAAGCACGTATGGCAATTCACAATGCTGTGTTGGTCCCTACTTTAACGTATGGTAGTGAAAGTTGGGTGTGGCAGAAGAAGCACGAGAGTAGAATAAACGCAGTAGAAATGCGGTCGTTAAGGAGTATGTTAGGGCTGAATCTGAATGACAGGGTAAGAAATTGTGTAATAAGAGAAGAGTGTGGTTTGCAAGATGATGTTGTGACCAGGATTAAGAAAGAAATGCTTCGGTGGTTTGGTCATGTGGAAAGAATGAATGAGGAAAGAGTGACAAAGAAAATTTATGGCGCAGAAGTGAATGGCAGAGTCGGAAAGGGACGTCCTAGGCGAAAATTTATCGACCAAATTGGCGATTTATTGAAAACGGGCAAAATTAGGAGTACCCTTAACCGACGAGCATGTATGCGTAGGTGTATGGATGTGAAGGAGGGAAGAGAGGTGTGTCAGGATCGTGTCAAATGGAAGTCTAGTCTGCCTACCCCTCTGGGTGACAGGCGTGAGTGTTTATGTATGTATGACTACGAAACCGCTAGTCACTCGATATTTCGACGCTGAGGATTCCCATACTGGCTGAGGCAACAACGGGAGTGCCTTGAAACTGAGGAGATACGACGAAGGGATTCTTTTTAGTGGTAAACGCGCAAATTTGTGTCTTCTGGGGATTGAAATGGGGTAGATTTAGTTGCTCCCAGTCCGAGACTTTGTTCAATAAAGTCTTGACTTCAGACACATGTTTGTCACGGTACTCGGCGACGTTTTCCCGAGAAACATTGGCACGGCCGGTGTGTGGGCATCACAAGTGCTGTCGTCTGCACAGCAATGAATGTTTCCGGTTCTCAACATATCATTGATATGCAGTAATAGCGTTGGTAATAGTACGAAGCCTTGTGGAACACAAGCGATAATGGGCTTGTAATCGAAGCATGCATCGTTTTCTACGATCTTGATGCTCTGATCTGCAAGAAAACTGGTGATCCAATTGTACGATTTCTCGGGGTGCCCATAGGAAGGAAGATTCATAAGAAGCGCTTTGTGCCAAACCTGATCGAAGGTCTTCGCTATGTCCAAACTAACGGCCAACGCCTCCCCCTTGGACTCTAATGCTTTCGCCCGTTTATGAGTTAGGTAACCCAGAAAATCACCAGCCGACAAATAAGATAGCATTCCGTCCCAATCGTAATAATGCCAAACACAGCGGCAACCGACAGAACGCATCACGATGGGAGCGTGAGTGAGTGGTCCGAGGAGCCAAGAGGGGCATCGACGGACATCCGATATCCGTCCGGATGAGAGATCAGCAGAAGTTTTAACAGGGAAGATACATGATCTTCCACATCTGTGATCCGCGTAGACGAGGTAACCAGTTGTGTCAGACCATATTCCAAAGCAAAGTCATAAACAGATCTACCCGCATTTTCGGTTAAACGGGAACCAAGTAATTAAGCGTAGTAGGCGTTAAAATCGCCGAGGATCACGATCTTTGCGTGTTGGGACCTGTTGGAGCACGAAGTCTGCAGCCATTTGGCCGTGGTCGATGAGTCGGTCTGTGTCGGCATTATCGCTATGGGACCTATAGAAGCAACCGTATTTGCGGGGATGGTAGTCGATGTCTATGTGCACCCATAGTATACACAAGTCCATACCTTTAAGGCTGCCGAGAGCGTCGAAAACAGATGTCCTCTCTCACGTACACGCACACTCCAGTTTGGGGCACAAAAAAGTGTTCTAATTTGTACTACGGGAGGGAGAGATACGAAGTATCATCCGTAGAGGACACCTGAGTCTCGGTTAGAAAGGCTTCGCCGTTTCCAGAAGTTAGTGGCCGGCGTTAAGGTTTGAATGAAGTCTCCTTATGTTGCAGAAATTCACAGATAGTGTGGCAGGGAGCGCCTTTGTCTTATTGCTCCGTTTGCACCAAGCAGATTTAGTCTGAAGCGAAATTTCACTACCCCCAGAATAAGCGGGGTAACCTGAGCTCCCGCGCTCAAGAGAGTAGGGTAGCTTGGGCGTGGATGCGTAGCGAGGGATTAGAGTAAACGGGATTAGATTAGACTTAACCAAGAGTATGATGAATAAAAATGTATAAAGTTAAAGTTACATCCTATATACGTCCCACTGCAGGGCACAGGCCTCCCCTCATTTCTAAGAGGGTTTTAGGGCTAGGAAGTGTCCGCCACGCTGCCCCAATGCGTGTAGGCGAACTTCACATGTCTTCGACTTTTTTTTCTTATTTCTCTGACATGCAGGTTTCCTCACGATGTTTTCTTTCACCGCCGAGCACGTGGTAAATCAGCATTCAGCACTTAAAATTGCAATTAACAATTTCATTGGTGCCGGCGGGGCTCGAAGCTGGTTTGCTCTCGTACTGTGAAATTTACAGCGAGCGCTAATCATCTGAGCTACCACGGCTCTGAAATGTATGTAAGAAATGTATGAAAATGTACTGATCTTAGAATGAGACCTACAATAAATATCAACTAAACAATAAGCGAAAGTAGTAAGTAAGTACGAAATATCCTCCCTGCCTACCCGCAGATGAAATAGTAGTAATGCATATAAGTCGTTTTCTTCATAAAATGTTTATTTCTTACAATAACATTACAAAGTTATAATACAGTTGGTTTGGAGCGGAGTAGATGGGTAAAAAAAATCATTCTCTATTTACATGTACCCGGTACCCAAAATATAAATGTTTTTAAGATTTTATTTCCAAGTTTTGTAGGGATGATTAATATCCGTAACTATGCCCAATAACATATTTGTAGCACCTAGGGTCTCTGAGTAAAACCGGAGACGGACGGACGGACATGGCGAAACTATAAAGGTTCCTTGTTGTGTAACTACGGATTCCCAAAAACTGCGGTTGTCAACCCGCCTACCAAGTGTGGCAAGTTTTAGTGGGAATTAAAGGACGAAGTGAATTCTTTGCAGGCGAAGATAAAAATTGACCACTTGGAAGAACATGAGCGGGCGATGGAGGCGGCGCTCGCGGCGATGGCGGCCGGCACTGCCCCCGCAGCGCTGCAGCCGCTGCACGAGCCGCAGCATCTGAACCGTCTAGCGCGCGGCGACTCGCTCGTGAGTACACACGCGGCGCTGCAGCCACTACACGAGCCGCAGCACCTTTACCGTCTAGTGCGCGGCGACTCGCTCGTGAGTACACATGCAGCGCTGCAGCCGCTGCACGAGCCGCAGCATCTGAACCGTCTAGCGCGCGGCGACTCGCTCGTGAGTACACACGCAGCGCTGCAGCCGCTGCACGAGCCGCAGCACCTGTACCGTCTAGCGCGCGGCGACTCGCTCGTGAGTACACATGCAGCGCTGCAGCCGCTGCACGAGCCGCAGCACCTGAACCGTCTAGCGCGCGGCGACTCGCTCGTGAGTACACACGCGGCGCTGCAGCCGCTACACGAGCCGCAGCATCTGAACCGTCTAGCGCGCGGCGACTCGCTCGTGAGTACACATGCAGCGCTGCAGCCGCTGCACGAGCCGCAGCATCTGAACCGTCTAGCGCGCGGCGACTCGCTCGTGAGTACACACGCAGCGCTGCAGCCGCTGCACGAGCCGCAGCTCCTGTACCGTCTAGCGCGCGGCGACTCGCTCGTGAGTACACATGCAGCGCTGCAGCCGCTGCACGAGCCGCAGCATCTGAACCGTCTAGCGCGCGGCGACTCGCTCGTGAGTACACACGCAGCGCTGCAGCCGCTGCACGAGCCGCAGCACCTTTACCGTCTAGCGCGCGGCGACTCGCTCGTGAGTACACATGCAGCGCTGCAGCCGCTGCACGAGCCGCAGCATCTGAACCGTCTAGCGCGCGGCGACTCGCTCGTGAGTACACACGCGGCGCTGCAGCCGCTACACGAGCCGCAGCACCTGTACCGTCTAGCGCGCGGCGACTCGCTCGTGAGTACACATGCAGCGCTGCAGCCGCTGCACGAGCCGCAGCATCTGAACCGTCTAGCGCGCGGCGACTCGCTCGTGAGTACACACGCAGCGCTGCAGCCGCTGCACACGAGAGCCGCAGCACCTGTACCGTCTAGCGCGCGGCGACTCGCTCGTGAGTACACATGCAGCGCTGCAGCCGCTGCACGAGCCGCAGCACCTGAATCGTATAGCGCGCGGCGACTCGCTTGTGAGTACACACGCAGCGCTGCAGCCGCTGCACGAGCCGCAGCACCTGAACCGTCTAGCGCGCGGCGACTCGCTCGTGAGTACACACGCAGCGCTGCAGCCGCTGCACGAGCCGCAGCACCTGAATCGTATAGCGCGCGGCGACTCGCTCGTGAGTACACATGCAGCGCTGCAGCCGCTGCACGAGCCGCAGCACCTGAACCGTCTAGCGCGCGGCGACTCGCTCGTGAGTACACACGCGGCGCTGCAGCCACTACACGAGCCGCAGCACCTTTACCGTCTAGTGCGCGGCGACTCGCTCGTGAGTACACATGCAGCGCTGCAGCCGCTGCACGAGCCGCAGCACCTGAATCGTATAGCGCGTGGCGACTCGCTTGTGAATACACACGCAGCGCTGCAGCCGCTACACGAGCCGCAGCACCTGAAACGTCGAGCGCCCGGCGACTCGCTTGTGAGTACACACGCAGCGCTGCAACCGCTACACGAGCCGCAGCATCTGAACCGTCTAGCGCGCGGCGACTCGCTCGTGAGTACACACGCAGCGCTGCAGCCGCTGCACGAGCCGCAGCACCTTAACCGTCTAGCGCGCGGCGACTCGCTCGTGAGTATACACGCAGCGCTGCAGCCGCTACACGAGCCGCAGCACCTGTACCGTCTAGCGCGCGGCGACTCGCTCGTGAGTACACACGCAGCGCTGCAGCCGCTGCACGAGCCGCAGCTCCTGTACCGTCTAGCGCGCGGCGACTCGCTCGTGAGTACACATGCAGCGCTGCAGCCGCTGCACGAGCCGCAGCACCTGAACCGTATAGCGCGTGGCGACTCGCTTGTGAGTACACACGAAGCGCTGCAGCCGCTACACGAGCCGCAGCACCTGAAACGTCGAGCGCCCGGCGACTCGCTTGTGAGTACACACGCAGCGCTGCAGCCGCTGCACGAGCCGCAGCACCTGAACCGTCTAGCGCGCAACGATTCGCTAGTGATTACACACGCAGCGCTGCAACCGCTGCTCGAGCTGCAGCACCCGAATCCGTGAAACCTGAAACCTAATGTAGAAGATGTATCATTTATCATTGAGCAGATCTTGCAATTACGAACCCACGTGTACTTACTGATAATCGACTAATTTTGCTTTATGCCTTTGTCTGATTGAGACGCTTTTTTTTGAAGGAATGAGATATTCGTTCGCACATACGAGATTAACCAGCAATATAGTATATATAGTATACTATATTGCTATAGTAGTATAGATATATAGTACACCCTTTATACATAGTATACCCTTTCTACGGCCTATCCCGCAAATTATGTTATCCTTTACTAGTATGGACCTCAGCTGGACGATGATGTTTTTAGGCTTATGAGGTGATTGGAATCTAGACAAAACACGATATACATTAATTATTCCCTCTTCAGATATGTTCACATTTGCACACTTCGCAATTGCAATGCCAAATCAATGATGTATTCTTTTTGTCTTTCGGGAATTCAGGATATTTCGAGATTCATAAGGCGTTCACGTTGTTTGCATAGTTGACGCTACAAATGTAACCATTAATTACTTAAGAGGAACTAATAAAAGTTTAAAGTATATTGACGCGTAATTATAAGATTTATTATTACAAATTGATACGTGTTTAACACACGTCTACATTATAGGAGCGCTCACGCGTTAAAGTTCTCTATAACTGTATCATTTTAACGTTTTAAATGAAACTTCCATTTGGTTACAGGAGGACGAACCCTTTCCAGAGACGACAACAAAAGCTCAATCGTCAGATCCTTTCGCGCCCAGCGATCCCTTCGCACCCAGTGGAGGTGCAGTCAATACTCAGGTTATTTTGTTTTTGATGCCTTTACACTGATACGTCATGTAACCTTACAATTTAACATAACTTGGGCTACACACAGCATTTTAGAATTTAAAGGAAAAAAAAAACTAAAATGAAATGCCTTAAATCCTGCAGAGCAGGAACACAGCAGCGGGTTTAGTTTTGCTCAAAGCAGAAAAAGTTAAAGGGGGTAGTATCAAACCAAAAATAAAATATAGGGTAGGCGGTAAATGATCAATTAATATACAAGAGGTCTCTACAAAACCATTTTAAAGTAGGAAACTGATAATCTTAAATAATTCCTGGCTTAGACCAATTCAAAAATGTACATATTGCTTATTGTTATGTGCAAATGTTATTTCACTTGACATTTCATACAGCATGCACTTCGTATGACTTATTAGAGGCGGTGTATATAACAAAGAGATTTAAATATATATACTATAGAGCAGACATCGGAAACATTTGCATACAAAAACTGTGAGCTTGCGCGTGCGTTACGCCCTCTTTTATTTTTATTTTTATAGAATAAGGGTGACAAACCAGCACACAGTCCACCTGATGGTAAGTGGTTGCTGTGACCCATAGACATCTACATCTGTCCTCGATTACGAATCAAAATGCAGATGCGTTGCCACCCGTGAGTACTAAGATGGAATGCCTCGTTTCCAGTAAAAAGGGTCTCCGGTTCTCTACACTCACCATACAAAACACAGCAGCATTAAGCTACTATTTTACGCTGGTATTCTTTTAGAGCGTGGTCTAGCCGACCCATTCGTGCTACAACTTCAATATAGTTGCAGCGTGGTTCTACCACGTAAACGTTGTCACTATCATTCACAACCTTTTTGTCGTTGACGTGTCATAAAATAAAAATATTAATTATAATGGATTTCCGCAAAGTAACGCCTGATTCTATCAAGTTGACGTGTCTTCATCGTGGTCGATCAGCTGTTGATCTTCTGGTTTACCTGATTCAGGGCGGAGGCAGTACAGTCCAAGGGGGAAGCATTGGTCGTTAGTGACCATAGCGAATGCCTTTTTTCATAGCGACATGCACATGGACAGCGAAGGCCTTCGATCGGTTCTGGCACAAAGCGTTTCTTTCAAAGCTTCCTTCCTATGCGTTTGCCGCGAAATTATGCAATTGGATCAGCAGTTTCCTTGCTGATCCGAGCAACAAGGCGGTAGTAGACGGTGCATGCTCTGATTACAAACCTATTAACGCTGGTGTTCCACTAGGCTGCGTGCTATCGCCAACGCTGTTTCTTCTACATATCAATGACATGTTGCAAACCCGTAACATTCATTGCTATGCGGACGACGGCACTGATGATGCTTTATACACCGGCCGTGCCAATATTTCTCCGGAAAACGTCGCCGAGTACCAGAACAAACTTGTGTCTGAAGTCGAGACTTTGTATATATATACAGGTTGTCCGGTAATGGATGGATAACCTTGGAATGTCTTATAGTACAACTTATGGCCGTTCTGAAAAAAATACGAAATATACGAATACTTTTTTCTATCTTATTTTACTGTCTTGAACACTATGACCAAAAACGAATGATTTCTGTTGGTTTTTTGTTGTTTTATTATTATACACTAACTGTGTTGATTGTTGTTGTTGCCGTGTAGTGGCGGTTAAGAATATCCACTACCCCATATCTTCCCGTGGGTGTCGTAAGAGGCGACAGAGGGAGACAGGCAGGAGATGGGCAGCAGCGTCTTCCTGATGACAACTGTGACGTAATAAAAAACTGCGGTTGCCAACCCTCTCGCCAAGCGTGGCAACTATGGCAAATACCCCCCAATGAATAAATACACAAACAGACGGCCCCCAGTCCCCGGCGGCCCCGCTATTCCTGGCTACGGTGGCGACCATGGTAACGGCGGGGCAGGGGGTGCTAAGAATCTCCGGTGGAGGTTCGGTTGCCACCTACGACGACTCGACCTGGCAACATATAACGCACGCACCCTGAGGACTGACGAGAAGATACTGGAGCTGGAAGAAGAGGTAGACAAGTTGCGCTGGCATATTATTGGATTATCCGAGGTCCGAAGAGAGGGGGAGGACACGGCAATCCTCGAGTCCGGCAACTTGTTCTATCACCGGGAGGGCGACCATCTGTCCCAAGGAGGTGTCGGATTTATCGTCCACAAATCTCTCGTCAACAACGTTGTAAAGATTGGGAGTGTGTCGACGAGGGTCGCGTACCTGATACTCAGAATCACCAAACGGTATTCGCTGAAGGTCATTCAGGTTTACGCACCAACCTCGGCACATCCCGATGAGGAGGTGGAGGAAATGTATGAGGATATTTCCAGAGCCATACATTCCTCCAAAACCTACTACACGGTGTTGATGGGAGACTTCAATGCAAAACTGGGCACAAGAGAAAGCGGTGAGCTGAAGGTGGGGAAATTTGGAGTAGGGCAACGGAACCGAAGGGGCCAGCAGCTAGCCGACTTTATGGAGAAAGAGGGACTCTTTATGATGAACTCTTTCTTCCAGAAGCGGCCCCACAGGAAGTGGACCTGGTCGAGCCCCGACGGTTCGACAAAAAATGAGATTGACTTCATTATGACGACCAGACGCCAACTGTTCAGTGATGTCTCAGTGATCGCAAGGGTGAAAACTGGCAGCGATCACCGAATGGTTAGAGGCACACTGAACCTAAACGTTAAGTTGGAGAGGTCTCGTCTAATGAAGTCAACGCTCCGTCCCCCTCGTGCTCTAATCCAGAATCCCGAAACCTTTCAGCTCGAGTTACGTAACCGCTTCCAGTGCCTAGAAGATTGCAATGCAGTGGACGATATGAACGACAAGCTCGTGGAAACTGTCCATGCGGTCGGAGCTAAGTTCTGCAAGACCCGCCGCAGAAGAACACAAAAACTCTCCGATCACACTCTTAATCTCATGGCTGTTAGACGGGAGATGAGGCTGCAATCGTCAACAGATTTGACAGCATACAGGCAACTGAACAGACAGATCTCCAAATGCATACGGCGAGACTTACGCAACTTTAATACTTCTCGTATTAAAGAAGCGATCGAGCGGAACCAGGGCTCCAAAGTCTTTGCCAGAGATCTGTCTGCCAGAAAGAGCCAACTGTCAAGGCTGAAGACTGAGTGTGGCAACATCGTTTCCGGGACACCTGAGATTTTAAGTGAGATTGAGAGGTTCTATGGGCAGCTGTACACATCATCGTTGGAGCCACACGCAAGTGTGAGTAACGATCCAAGAGCAAGTCTTATCCGACACTATTCCGATGATATCCCGGACGTCAGTCTAAGCGAGATTAGAATGGCTCTCCAGCACCTTAAAAACGGCAGGGCCCCAGGCGAGGATGGAATTACAGCGGAGCTTCTGAAAGCGGGTGGAACACCGGTACTTGAAGTCCTTCAGAAGCTCTTCAATTCCGTCCTCCATGGTGGCACTACTCCAGAGGCGTGGAGCAGAAGTGCGGTGGTCTTGTTCTTTAAGAAAGGCGACAACGCTCTCTTAAAGAACTACAGACCGATTTCCCTTCTGAGCCGCGTCTACGTGCTGTTTTCGAGAGTCATTACGAATCGTCTCGCACGCAGACTTGACGACTTCCAGCCTCCCGAACAAGCCGGTTTCCGAAAAGGCTTCAGTACCATAGACCACATACATACCCTGCGGCAGATTGTACAGAAGACTGAAGAGTACAATCTGCCACTTTGCCTGGCGTATGTGGACTATGAGAAAGCCTTTGATTCCGTCGAAATTTGGGCGGTGCTACAGTCCCTTCAGCGGTGCCAAGTTGACTGTCGGTATATCGAAGTGCTGAAGTGTTTGTACAGTAGGGCTACGATGGCTATCCGAGTACAGAACCAGAGCTCGAAACCTATCCAACTGCAGAGAGGTGTAAGACAGGGTGACGTTATATCCCCGAAACTCTTCACCGCTGCATTGGAAGACGTTTTCAAGCTACTGGACTGGAAAGGATACGGTATTGACATCAATGGCGAGTACATCACTCACCTTCGATTTGCCGACGATATAGTCCTTATGGCAGAATCGCTGGAGGACTTAAGCACTATGCTCAATGACCTCAATAGTGCCTCCCAACGGATAGGTCTTAAGATGAACATGGACAAAACAAAGATCATGTTCAATGTCCATGTCACACCTATGCCGGTAGTTGTTGGGAGCACTATGCTCGAAGTTGTTGACGAATACGTTTACCTGGGACAAATAGTCCGACTAGGTAAGTCCAACTTCGACCGAGAGGTCAATCGACGGATTCAACTCGGCTGGGCAGCGTTCGGGAAATTACGGCATATCTTTTCGTCAGGTATACCTCAATCTCTAAAAACTAGATTGTACAACCAGTGCGTGTTGCCAGTGATGACTTACGGATCTGAGACGTGGTCCTTCACTGCTGGCCGTATGAGGACGCTTAAGGTCGCTCAGCGAGCTATGGAGAGGGCTATGCTCGGAGTTTCTCTGCGTGATAGACTCAGAAATGAGGATATCCGCAGTAAAACCAGAGTGACCGACATAGCCCAACGGATTAGTAAGCTGAAGTGGCAATGGGCCGGCCATATAGCTCGAAGAACCGATAACCGATGGGGAAGAAAGGTTCTCGAGTGGCAGCCTCGTACCGGTAGGCGTAGTGTAGGGCGACCCCCCACTAGATGGAGTGACGACCTGGTAAGACATGCAGGAAGTCGATGGATGCAGGTGGCTCAGGACCGTGCTTTGTGGCATTACTTGGGGGAGGCCTATGTTCAGCAGTGGACTTGTGAAGGGCTGTAATGATGATGATGATGATGAACTGTGTTGATAGATAAAAAGTAAATAGTATAAATAGCTTTTGCAGTTTATATTTAAAAAATTCGCAAATCAATTTATTTTTGAAAATCATTCAAAAAATATTATTGAAGCGAAGTTCATACCTCTTGGGTATGAAAAAAAAGCATGAATGTATGGGTGACCAATAATGTCGGTTTCGTGTAGATTTTATAGTGGTAT